GATGAATTATACAGTTTGAAGTGGGTGACTAAAACTGAATTGAGAATAGTAAAAGATAATAGGAAGGACTTTAATGTTAGGACTTTCATGTCTGAGGAGGGATGGGGGACAGGACTAGGGTGAGACAAATGAGGTGCCTATAGTGCTGAATAGTCTTTCTTGACCCAGAAAATGAGTACCTCTTTAAATGCTGTGTCCTGGGGCAGTAACTCTGAAGTCTGTCAGCCAGAAACAGAGCAGTGAGAGCCATGAAAGGACTAGATACTAAGGCTCTAGGAATCCTAGTATCAGAGGTCCTGGGTACAGGAGTTCAAACCTAAGCAAAGACTCTAAGGCTGCAGATAAAAACCCAGATATTATGTGATAGGAAACTAAGGCTCAAAACCAAAGTGGACTGAATATGGGAAGCCAAAAAAGGCTTCAAAGAGGAGACCTTTAATGGAATTATAAAACTCTTCTCAGGCCAGAGAAGTGTGGGGTGAAGTGTGATAACAAAGACAGAGGAAACAGCAGATGCAGAGGCATGGAGGTGTGATCACTTTAATGGCTGGAATTTAGGGCGTGGTCAGAGATGAGGTTGGGAAACATGTTATGGAGGGCTGCATACACCATGCTGTAGATTTCAACTTTATTTCTGTAAACATTGGGGAACCATTGAAGGTATTTTATGGTTGGAAGTTACCTGGTTAGATTTGTGAATTTAGAAATTATTAAATATGACTGGTGTGGCTCAATTGGCTGGACATCTTCACACAAAGCAAAAGGTCACCAGTTTGATTCCCAGTCAGAGCACATATCTAGATTACAGGTTTGGTTCCTGGTTGCGGAGCGTATGAAAGGCAACCGGTCAATGTTTCTCTCTCACATTGATGTTTCCCTCCTTCTCTTTCTCCCTCCTTTTCCCTCTCTCTAAAAAAATTAGTAAATATTTTGAAATGTACTCATAAGTAAATAGCATAATGAACCCTCATATACCCATAAACCACCTTCAATTATCGAGATTTCACCAGTTTTATTTCAGTTATATCTTTTTTCTTGCTCTTTCCATTCTTTTAAAAAGTTTAGTGAAATATTTTAAAGCCAATCCCAGATATCATGCTATTTCACTCCTATATATCTTCAGTAGGCATGTCTAAAAATTACAGATACTTTCTTCTATAACCATGCTGTCATTGTGTTATCCACAACATTAATAATTCCTTAATAGCATCTGATATCCAGCCCATTATAAAATTTCTCAGATTATCTCAAAAGATTGTCCAACAGTTGGTTTGTTCATATAAGGATCCAAACAAGGACTCTACATTACATTTGATTATCTCTTCTTTTCCAACTTTATTGAGGTTGCTGTAGAGTAAATGTTTGTGCCCCCCCCAAAAAAAATTAATATGTTGAAACCTAACCCCCAATGTGATGGTATTTGGAGGTGAGCCCTTTGGGAGGGGATTAGTTTATGAAGGCAGAACCTTCATGAATTGGATTAGTGCCCTTATGAAAGGGACCCCAGACAGATCCCTTTCCCATTCCATAATGTGAGGACACAGTGAAAAGAGGGCAGGCCATGTACTAGCAAGCAGGCTCTCAACAGACACTTCATCTGCCAGTGCCTTGATCTTGCACTTTCCTGCCTCTAGAGCTGTGAGAAATAAATTTCTGTTGTTTACAAGCCACGTAGTGTGCAGTATTTTTTAAAGCAGCCCAGACAAACTAAGATGAGGTATAAATGACAATTAAAAATTGGATATGACTTGATGATTTGATATAGGTATACTTTGTGAAGTATTTACCACAATCAAGGGGGGAAGGAGGGGGAAGTGTTGGTCAAGGGATACAAAGCTTCAGTTACACAAAATGGTTATTATCTCTGAATCTCTCTCAATCCAGAGCAGTGTGTGCCTCACTTTTTCTCTTTCAAGCCATTGACTTATTGTAGAAAGTGGGCCAGTTGTCCTATGGAAAATCCCGCATTTTGGATTTGTCTGTCTTCTGTCTTGTGTTGTCATTTGCCTTATTCCTCTATACCCCAACCCCATATTTTTCTATAATGGAAGTTAGCTTTAGAGGCTGGATGATATTCAGGTTCAACTTTTATTTTTGGTCCAGTATACTTCACAGTGGTTGCCATGTAATTCACTTTGCGTCACATTTGGAGGCTCATGTCTAGTCCACCTTAAATGAACTGGTAGTGGATTTATTCAACTTTTCACCTAATGGTATGATTCTTTGATGATCATTGGCAGAATTATTTCACTAGGAGTTTCAAAATGGTGATTTCCTAATTTTATTTTCTACATTAATTAGCTGAAATTCTTCTGAAAGTAAACATTCCCTCATCAACTAGGACTATTGGGTTACCTGTACAAGGAAGGCAGGAGAGATGCTTAATTCTTTTTTTTTTTTTTCGTGCTTAGCTATTCACTTTTTTTTAAGATTTTATTTATTTATTTTTAGAGAGGGAGATAGATAGATAGAGAGAGAAACATCAATGTGTGGTTGCTGGGGGTTATGGCCTGCAACCCAGGCATGCACCCTGGCTGGGAATCAAACCTGTGACACTTTGGTTCACAGCCTGTGCTCAATCCACTGAGCTACGCCAGCCAGGGCTGAGATGCTTAATTCTTGATCTTGGACTTGATTACCAATTTTCACAATAAAGAGTTGGTGCCCTAGTTACTTCTAGTGATAGTCAATGAATTGGATGTGTTCGTTCTCTCTCTATCACGAAATCATATTTTTTAAAAAATGTATTCAATGGGTTTCAGTTAATTGCATTCATCATTCTTGTCAATGCTCAAATTGTCCCATCTTTTGCCAAAGTGTTGCCTCCCATATCCCTCTGACACTACTCATTGGGGTTCCATAGCTTGCTTGATTTCTGGCATAAAGCTTATATTTCCCTCCCCACACCCACCGTTTCTCTAAGGTGCCCTAGTTTGTGTGTGTGTGTGTGTATATATATATATATGAAAGTTTTTAAAGGCTTAATTTATTCTCATTCAAGAGAGACGGGAAGGGAGAGACAGAGAAACATCGATCAGTTTCCTCCTGTATGCACCACAACTGGGAAATCAAATCCACCACCCAGGCATATGTCCTGACTGAGAACTGAAACAGTGACCTTTTGGTTACAGGACAATGCTCTAACCAACTGAGCCATACTGGCCAGGGTGAGAAAGTTTATTTCAAAAGTTACAGAGGCAGAAGTAGGGCCCGTGGAGCTTAGGAGAGAGAAAGGCAAAGGTCATGAATCTGGGGGGAAGAAGAGGGAGAAGAGAAAGGCTTAGGTGTGTTTCTGGGATGGAAAGTGAGCCCATTTTCTTTTTAACAATAGCTTTATTGAAGTATAATTTACACAATATAAAATTCACCTACTTAAAGTATGCAATTTAGCCCTGGCTGGCGTAGCTCAGTGGATTGAGCACGGGCTGCGAACCAAAGCATCACAGGTTCGATTCCCAGTCAGGGTACATGCCTGGGTTGCAGGCCACGGCCCCCAGCAACCACACATTGATGTTTCTCTCTCTCTCTCTTTCTCCCTCCCTTCCCTCTCTAAAGGTGAATAAATAAATCTTAAAAAAAACTTGTTAAAGTATGCAATTTGATGATTTTTAGTAGATTTATATAGTTGTGCAACCATAGCCACCATCTGATTTTAGAACCTTTCCATAAGACTACAAGATCTCTTGTACCCTTTGTCAGTCAATCTCCTTTCCCTCCCCTAGCCCCAGGTAACACTAACATGCATCTGCCTTCAACTTCTGTAGATTTGCCTTTTCTAGAGATTTCATGTAAACGGAAGCATACACTCTATAGCCTTTGCATCTGGCTGCTTTCTCTTAGCATTTTTTTTTTTACTTTAATTGAGATATAGTTCACATACCACAAAATTCACCAATTCAAAGTATGTAACAGTGGTGTTTAGTATATTCACAAAGTTGTTTAATCATCACCACTATCTGATTCCCAAATATTTTCATCATACCAGAAAGAAACTATACTGGTTAGCAGTCACTTCCCATCTCCCCCACCACCACCTGAGACCCAGGCAACCTCTAATCTGCTTTCTACCTCTAAGGATCTGTCCACCCTGGACATTTCATATAAATGGAATCATACAGCATATGAGCTTTTGGTCTAAATTCTTCTTCAGTTAGCATATTGTTTTCAAGGTTCATCCATGCTATAGCACATGTCAGTGCTTAGTTCATTCCTTTTTATGTCTGAGTAGTATTCCATTATATGAATATACCATATTTTGCTTATCCATTCATCAGCTGATGGACATTTTGGATTGTTTCAACTTTTGGGGTAATGTCAATATAAGAAAAATTCAAACCTGTAGAGAATTTTTATGAGTTTACTTGAGTTAAATTGATGATATTACAGGAAGAAAACTCTTGAATGTTCTGAAGAATGACACTTTTGCAGTGCCTTTTATACCTTTGTAATTAAGGATGGACCTTAAGAAAGATGAACATGGGAGAAAGCTAGGCAGGAAAAGCTCTATGGTCGGATTGCAGGATAAGTAACAACAGTATGTGCTCTCTTGAGGGTGGTTACCCTTCCAAGGGGTTTGAAAAGAGGAATTTAAAATGTGTGTTAACCTACTGCACAAAAACAATGGATAGGGCTTGCTTATGTTGAAGATAAACCTTTTATGTGCCTGGGGCTTGACTACTCACCATGACTTATCTGGCTAGGAATTTATGATTAGATCATTCTGTGAGGTTACTTTTGGTTAGATTTATTATAGAACCCCCTTTTTGGTTCATAGTGCTATAGTAGTTAAGTCTGTGTTTAACTTTTTGAGAAACTGTCGTGGTGTTTTCCAAAGCAGCCACACCATTTTACATTCCCCCCAGGAGTGGATGAGTGTTCTAGTTTTCTCCACATCTTTGTCAACACTTGTTTACTGTCTATCATCTTTTTTAATCATAGCCATCCTAGTGGGTATACCACTTCAGAAAACAGTTAGTAGTTCCTCAAAAGGTTAAGCTCAGGTGCTTGCTTTGGCAGCACATGTACTAAAATTGAGACAATACAGAGAAGATTAGTGTGGTCCCTGTGCAAGGATGGCATCTAAATTTGTAGAAGGAAAAAGTTTAAGCTCAGGTTCTGATCCCCACCCTCCCACCCCCAGAGATTCTTGTACTTTTCTTGCTTTTCTAAATTTGTTTAGTGACTTGCGTGGATTAATTCTGTAGATTCTGTCTCTTCTTCAGTGTGTAGCCCATTGACGTTTCTGCTCTGCTTTTTAGAAATTCTTTTTATTTCTGGGAAGCCTTGCTTCCTAGGTGTCACACCTGGGTCAGGATAGCTCAGTGAACAGTCAGTCATTTGGTAGAGGTTGTCCTTTAAGGGACACCTTGGGCCACTGTTGTCTTCCATCCTTTGTCGATGGAACTGCATGTGAGTTGGGAACCATACTCAAAAAGTTCAGGGAGTTTACAAGTTCCTCCTGATTTTTACTTTCTGCTAGGCCTTTTCATGTCTCCTCTATATCTGTGTAGGTCTTTACATTCAGTCAGGGAAATGGAGGTGGCTAGGGCACTCTCAAGTACTCTGTGATTGACTGCAGCCTTGCATGTACACATAGTCTTCTAGACCACCAAGGATAAGGATGGAGCTGATCAAGTCCCCCTAGGCCTTTCTTGTTTTCTTGATCTCTCTGCTGAATTTTAGAAGGCTTCTTGTTCTGTTGCTTGCCCTCAGCAATATTGTGACCTCAGGTAACTGATGTTGGTTTTCCCTGATCTAAGGAGTTGGCTATTATTTTCAACACCCCTGGGCATGGGACTTTTTGTCCTCATTCCTAAACAAGTAATTCCAGTCCAGCAGCTAAGTTGCTGGTTTTTAGGACTTTGCCCTGCCCTGCCCTTGTAAAATCAGCTCCAGTGGACGTGAATTCAGAAGGGACATGAACAGCCCCAAGCTAAAACACCATAGATTCCCACTGTTCTTGTCCAAGGTTCAGTAGGTTTCCTTAAACACTTCTTAATGCATTGTTTAATTTTGGTTTATTTCCATAGTCCTGAAATGGTTGTTTTTGACAGTGTTATACAGTTATATCATTTCATTTTGGGGGAGAGGACTTACTGAGACCCTCACTCTGCCCTTCCTAAAGCCCTGCTTAATTTATGTTTTAAAAGATCATTCTGGTAGCAGTGGAAGATCAGTTGGGTGGAGGGGAAACTGGTAGTCAGTAGTGTAGGATTTTACTCAGTAGTGCTTTGTAATTTATAAATAGGAGTGGAAAAATAGAAAGAGTTGGGTTGATTTGTGGGTGGAAATTGGCAGTAGAAGGATGGCAGAAAATCAAGGGGATAGGAGAATGAAGGGCGCTGGCTACTGTCATTGAAGTCTCACTGTCCATAGAACTTTTCCTGGGTAGAGGAAGAGGTGAAGGCGACAGGGACATGGTGTTCTTGGCACATAGGTGAGAGGCTTGATAAATTCAGGCCTCTGAATTCAAGGCCAACTTTCTTGAGGAAGTTGAAGGGAAAATTCAAGGAACGTAAGGTGTAGGAGATGTAGAAAGACTAGTAGTTCAGAGAGTGGATTCTGTGTTTGGTTTTGGAGGTAGAACCACTACAGTTGTCACTACAGAAAGGGACAGTTGAAATAGAGTTGAGATGAAATTCAAATCAGATTTGTCAAGAAGCTGTGAGGTTTGGGTGGTAGATCATCAAGGGGGATGATGAAGGCTTTCAGGATGAAAGGAGAAAGCCGAACAGTCCTTCCCAAAGTCTTCAGTGAAGGTAGGGAAGAAACCTGAAATTGATGTGTAACACTGAGAGGGTGATGAAATTGAGTAGCATGAACTTTGAAGGAAGGCAGGCTGTTGAGGGAAGATAGTAAAATAATACTTTGAGGATCCAATGAAGAAGATGCTAACCTAATTTTGATTTATGGGGAGATCTGAGTAAAGGAAATAAACAAACACCAATTAAGAGCTCTGCAAAGGAAACAGTAGAGTTTGGGACATGCAGTGTTAAGAAGAGGTGAGGAGAGGTGATAGCAGCTGAATGGATGAGCAATACTGAAAGCAGGAAAGTTTTAGGAAATGGTGGATAGTTGTTTGTTTTTTTTTTTCACTTAAGCATAGGGTGTAATTAGAGGTGTGTAATGGATTATTGGAATCTATGTGGTTAGTTTGACACTGGAATATAACTAGAGCCATTATTTTAAAAATTTTGTTAGATGATATGCTAAGGAAACTGAACTGATTTTGTTTAGACATTAGGGAAATTTTGGAACTGGTATTAGTAGCTGGGAAACAATTTGACAGTTTTGGAATACTTTGACTATGAAAATGTGAGATTGGTGTATAATAATAATTATGGTGTAAGTTATTAATGACACCATTAGGATTGAAGTTACATATAGATCATCATTTTGATGGGGATGTATTCAGTAGACTGGATGAATTTTGGTCTTTCCGTAATTAGAAAATTGGAGCTTTAAAAATCTATTGACTTTTGGGAATAGTATTTTTCTATTCTTTTCCAAAACCACCTGCAACCTACAATATATAGAAGACTGCCTAGGATCTGCTCCAGTGTGAGGGTTTTGATCTCAATCGCCCTGACTCTGTTTGACATGATTCTGTCTATGTATAAGTAAGATACATAGCTAGAAGAATAGGAGAAGAGAAAAGGTAAAGCAAAAATGAGGCTGAATTAGAGATGTGAAGCTTTGTCTTAAAAACCTGAAGATTAACTGCTGTGACAGTAATGTGGTACATTTTCAGTTCTAGCTATCATTTGTTGTAAACTGAAAGAACATTGACATAATTGGATACAGAGGTATATAAGTGCTGGCAATGGGATGGAGGTAGGAAGCTGGTTAGCTGGCAAGGAGCCTTAGAGCTAGCAGTTTTTATATTAATACTGTCTTTTTGGTATTGGTTGATAACAGCAGAAAAATATTTGTGATCACTCTGGGGACTTATTTATTGATTTCTACTGTTATAATATGAATGTGCTTAATGGTTACTCTTATAAATGTAATATTTCTTTTTTTGGCACTCTAGCAGCCACCAGAAAAGAGATCACACAAAAGCTATTGCCTGTACAGTCCTCTAAATCCTTTGTAACATGGGATATTGAGATCTCAGGCTGTTAGAATTGCAGTTCATGGGGCAATCTGTATCATTCTGGTCTAGTCAGGTAAGTAGTCCCTATGGATTAGTTTCTTGTTCTCTACAAAAGAACAAGAAAGGAAAAAAAGCAAAGAAGGTGAATATAGAAAAATATAGATATGAAAAACAGAAAAATGTAGATATGATTCTTAGGCCCTAGAGGAGACGTTCAGGCCTAAGCCTTAAGCAGCAAAACGGGGGTGAAGAGAACCTCAGGGGTTACATTCAACCTCAGTAGAGTGGTATCCATGAAATATAAACACTGGAAGAATGAAGTCTGTTTTGTGACCTGGCTTGACTTCAAGAATGAAGAAACTTAGACTGAACTGCAATAAAAATATCTGCAAAGGCAAGATTAAAAGGAAGGAAGTATGCTTTGAAGTTAAAATAGATAGAAATGTAAGTGTAATGAAGTATCTTTTATGAACAAAATATTACCTATATCTAGATGATGATCATATTTTAAATATTTCTTTAATATTTAATAGTTAAGAGAATGAACATTGGCTTTCACTCACTAGCTGTGTGATCAATGGGGAAATTACTTACCTGCCCCAAACCTCAGTTTCTTTACCCATCAAATAAATTAATTAGACTTATATGGTTATTATAAGAATTAAATGAAAAAAATCTTAAGTATATAGCACGATGCCTGGCATATACTTAGAGCTCAATATATAGTCACTATTATTAGGTGGTGGAAGAGAGAGTTAATGAGATGGGTGTTCAATAATGTGATAAATTATTCTTCACAGGTAGCTATGCAATTAGCTATTTCTTGTCAGAGCAACTTGCAGCTTGGAGTTTCAGGATCAGAACCTCTTGGAGATTGGGCTACAATGAGTGCTAATTAGGCCATTTTGAAGGAGGGTAATTTCCATTGTTCCCTGAGTTTGTAACAAATTAGGTCTTTCTATACACTTTCCTGCCAGAATAATGCCTTTTTAAAGATTTTATTTATTCATTTTTGGAGAGCAGAGAAGGGAGGGAGAAAGAAAGGGAGAGAAACTTCAATTTGAGAGAAAGAAATTGATCGGTTGCCTTTTGCTCACCCCAACCGGTGGCCTGGCCAGACTAATGCTTTTAACATTAGTATTTTTAGTTCAAGTTACCATGAGTGTCTGTAATATTTTCGTTCCTTTAACTTGGATCTTGAATTTTGGAGAAGATAGCAAAATGATGGACAGGTCAGGTAGACGGGCCATACTAGGTGAAAATAGAGGATGGTAAGAGGATAAAAGGTAAAGATTTCTCCATAGTCAGTGCAGATCACCTTTTGGATCTAATTCATTTAGGTCACTGGTCTGGGTAGAGCGAAGCAGAATGCCTGCAGTTGAAGTGTCACAGGAATCCTAAAATAGAGGTCCTAATGAGGCTCTCTGGCCCACCTATTTAAGTTAAGGAGGAGGAGATAAGTTTCTCAGTTGGGATAGCTTTTTATATGGACCTAGTTTTGTTAGGCTTCAAAAGGAGCCATAGAAGAGAAAGGTTAAAGGTACAGGATTTCTTGTTGTTATTATTTCACATTCTGCTTGAAGAGTCTCTGATTTAAGACATGTTTTTTCCTTTTAAATACTTTATTTTTTAAAGGAGTTCATAGCAAAATTGAATGGAAAGTACATAGTGTTCTGGTACACGCATTGACCCCACACATACATGGCCTCCCCCACGATCAAAATCCTGCACCATCCTGTATATTTGGTATAACCGATGAGCCTCTATCAATAGATCATAATCACCCAAAATACAGAGTTTACATTAGGGTTCACTCTTGGTGGTGTACATTCTATAGGTTTTTATGAATGTATAATGGCATTCACCATTATAGTATCTACTGTTATAGTATCATACAGAATAATTTCATCACCCTAAAAATCTGTGCTTTGCCTATTTATCTCCCTCTAATCCCTAGCTCCTAGCAACCACTGATCTTTTTACTGTTAATATCATTGTGATCTTATTTTTA